CCTATTAAGAAAACCCCAACATACTCCCCCTAAAAAAAAAAGAAACAAACCCTAAAACAAAATAAAGACCCTGAAACTGGAAGTTTAGGCTTGGCCATGCCTTATAGGAGCCCCGTATTTTGTTGCAGGACAACATTGCTACACAAGTGCATCAGACGCTGGTCACAGCACACTCAGAAGAGACACTACAAGCAGGTATGGAGCCTTTTGATAGCAGGTAGCTCTTGCATCTACTTACTTTGGAAAGATTACTAAAAAGGCCTGTGCTAGGATGTCTTCATGTGTTGATCTGGGAAGAGCGGCTGTTGTAAAAGCTCTGAGGTCTCTCGCCCGCCTCCATCATTGATGTCAGACGGTCTTCCTGATTGCCTGCATCTTTCTCTGCTGGGAAAATGGCAGGAGCTGGCTGAGAGAGGTGAGAGCTCCTAGTCAGTTATTTCTTTACTCAAGTTTATTATCAGACAATAAATTATTCAGAATACCAGGAGAAAAGGCTAGTGAATAAGTGCTGTATCCTAGTCTAGTGTCGATAGTGGGTAGAGGAGGATGGGACTCAGAATGATGAGTAATGAAGGTAGATGGAAAAGATGGGTTCCATTCCATGGAAGAACTATTTACCACTTGCCTGTTCTTTATGCAGCCCCGCTTAAGCCCTCTCACTGGGCTAGTAATTCAGCACCAGGATGGTACATGTGCTCGTGCAGGCTAGTTCCTGGTAACTGGCTGCTGAGCTGAGGAGTGCTCTGAGACCCTTTGTGGATTTGAAAAGGTGGAGCATCAGCCAAAGAAAGGAAGACCCTCCGTGAGATGGATTGACAGTGTGACTGCAGCAGTGGGCTCATGTGTGTCAAAGACGATGAGGATGGTACAGGAGAGGACAGGGTTCAGATCTGTCGTTCTTAGGGTCGCCATGAGTCATGCCTTGACTGCACCTAACAACGGCAGCAGGCTCCATGGGGTCCTGTGGGCGTTGCATGAGGGGGGTGCGGCGCATCCACTCTAGTGTCCTTGGCAGTGTAGACACATTCCAAACTCCACACTGCCATCCACATCCCCACTTCCATCTGTTTTGAGAATCTTAACACATGAATCTGAGGATGTTGGCTTGCTCTCTGTAGTTCTAGGATAGGATCCAAATCCTTTAGAGAGGCTTACAAATTCTTTTGGAAGCTGGCCTTGTCGCTCTCTGCTCCCCCCCCCCTTTGTACCCTCAAACCTCTGCTCCTTTCTACCTGTTCAGCTCAGGTGTCACTTCCTCCCCCAGACCCACCCCTTCAAGAAACTTTTATCAGAGTATTTGTCATGTTGTTTTCGCACCTGTCTCTTGTGAGTGTAACCTATGTCTTCCCTCAACCTAGCCCAGCAAGGCATTCGCTATATAGACTGATGCTTGGATGAATGAGTGAACAGATGTTCAGATGTCGTTGATTCCCGTAGGCATCATTTCAGTTCTTGGCATTTGGAAGTTACTAATCCAAGGCAAAGGAGCCCTGGTGGCACAGTGTTTAAGGACTCAGCTACTACCCCAAAAGTCAGCAGTTTGAACTCACCAGCTACTCTGTGGGAAGAAGATGTCGCAGTTGGCTCCTGCACAGATTAAACCCTTGGGAACCTGTGTGTGTGCTCTGCTCAGTCCTGAGGAGTCACTAGGGTTTGGAAGTGACTCGGTGGCAATAGATTTGGTTTCTAGCCCAGACTTCTTCCAGTGCACAACACAAAAACTGGTTTTTTTTGTCATAGCTTCAAATGCCACTTCTTCTGTAGGGTAGTGGTCAAAGCAGTCACTAGTCTAACCAGATTGAAGGAGAGGGGACTATTTCTCAATGAAAAGAAATAAATTACATGATGTCTTAAAAACCACCATATATATATTTCCCCAGAGTGTATAATGATAAAAGCGTATGTATATTTTCATGTGTTCCTACTGATTTATCCATGAAATAGTGAACTTTTCTATATTTCCATAAAAATATGAAGAATTTATATGGCAAAACCAAAATGGATACTATAAAAGACTTGCACTAGACCATTGAGAAGCCAAAACAAAGGGAAGAGATGTTGAAGTTAAAGCCCTGAACAGAAGATTTCAAAGAGCAGCCCAAGAAGACAACTCAAGTATTATTACCAAATATACAAAGAGCTGGAATTGGAGAATAAAAAGGAAAGAACTCAATTAACATTGTTCAAGCAGAGAGAGCTGAAACACAGATCCAAGGCTCAAGTTGTAATACTGAGAGATGCCATGGGCAAAATCTTGAATGATCCAGGAAGCATCAAAAGAAAAGAATTGGTTGACACTGAAATATTTCTGAAAATACCACATGATCAAGAGCCAATGGTAATGAAGGAAGAAGTTCAAGCAACATTGAAGGCATTGGCCAAAAATAAGACCTCAGAAATCAATGGGCTACCCAGTTGACATGTTTTGTGGGCTAATCTATGCCAGGAAATCTGGAGGACAGCTGCCTCGCCGAATTGTTCCCATTCCTAAGGAAGGTGATCCAACAGAATGTGGAAATTATCAAACAATATCATTAATATCACATTCAAGCAAAATACTGCTGAAGATCGTTCAAAACCAGCTAGAACTGCCAGAAGTTTAAGCAGGATTTAGAAGAGGGCTATGGCACCAGGGCTAACCTTGATGATGTCAGATGGATCGGATCCTGGCTGAAAGCAGAGAATACCAGAAGAATGTCTGTACGTTATTGACTTTGTGAAAGCATTTGATTATGTGGATCGTAACAAATTATGGCAAATACTGAGCTCAGTAGAAATTCCAGAGCATTTAATTGAACTCATATGAAATCTGTACTTAGACCAAGAGGCTGTTGTGCGAACAGAGCAAGGAACAATGTTGTTGTTGTGTACCATCAAGTCAGATCTGACTCATAGCTGACCCTCCAGTGGGTTTTCAAAGGCAGTAATCACACAAGAGGAAATTGCCCATCTTTTTCCCATGGAGCAGCTGGTGGATTTGAACCACATGCCTTTAGGCTGGAGTGCAGTGCAGCTCCTTACCACTAGACCAACAGAGCTCCTCCCTAAAGGAACAGATGGTTCCAAGGAACAGATGAAGAAAGGTGTGTGTCAACATTGTATCCTCTCTCTGTAACTATTCATTGTATTGCTGAACAAATAGTTCAAGAAGCTAGACTCTCTGAAGAAGAATGTGCACCAGGTTCAGAGGAAGACTCATCAGCAACCTATATAATGTAGATGGTACAACCTTGCTTGCCGAAAGTGAGGAGGACTTGAAGCACTTGCTGCAGAAGATCAAAGATTACAGCCTTCAATCTGGATTTTACATCTTAACATCAAGAAAACAAAAATCTTTACCAATGATCCAATAGGCAATATCATGCTAGATGGAGAAAAGAGTGAAACTGTCAATGATTTCATCTTACTTAGATCTACAATCAATACCCTTGATACAGCAGTCAGGAGAGCAAAAGATGTATTACACTGGTAAAGTCTGCATCAGAACCTTTCCACATTATTAAGAATCAGTGATATCAGTTTGAAGACGAAGATACCCATGATCTTTTCAGACCATGGTCTTTTAAATCACTTGCTATGCATCTGAGAGCTGGGCCATGTATAAGGATGACAGAAGAACTGATGCCTTTGAACTGGGGTGTTGGAGAAGAGTACTGAACATCCCATTGACTGGAACAAACAGGTATGTCTTAGAGAAAGTACAGCCAGAGGGTTCCTTGGAAACACATAAAGCTTCACCTCAACATATTTCAGGTATGTTGCTAGGAGAGGCTATTTCTTGGAGAGGGACCTCATGCTTGGAAAGGCAGAGGGTCAGTGAAGGAGAAGACCCTCAACTAGGTGGACTGACATAGTGACTGCTGCAGTGTGTCAAAAAGTGTGAGGATGGCACAGGACAGGACAGGGTTCAGATCCGTTTTTCATAGGGTCACTATGGGTCACACTTGACTCGATAGCACCTAGCAACAACAACAATATGGCATGTGCTGTAAACAAAGCCAAGAGACCTCTTACAAAGTGAGAAAATAGTTGTAGCACACATGACAAAGGACTAATAAATTCCTTAAATTTCAAAAAGATCTTATCATCGAGACAAATACTAATAATCAGTAAAAAGAAGATGGTGGCTATAAGCACCTTTGCCCCAGGGGAAACTTCAGCTGTTGATGTGTGTGTGATAAATGGGTAGTATATGAATATACTGCTAACTCCATATGTAAATGTTTTATAATGAAATGGTTTTCACTTTATTTTATTTTTCACTTGTCATGTTGGCAAGAGATTTTAGTCTTTTCCTCCATTTCATTGTGCAGGAGGCACCCCTCCCTCAAGAAGTTGACCTTGAAAGGTCCTTTTTAAAAAATTTAAAGGGAAAACAAAAAAACTCACCCCAGTAAGAAAAGCAAAATTTACCAGAACAACAAATGCTGGCAAGGTTGTGGAGAAACTGGAACGCTTATTCTCTATTGGTAGGAGTGTAAAATGGTGCAACCATTATGGAAGGCAGTATGGCAGTTTCTCAAAATGTTGTAAATAGAAATACCATTTGACCCAGCAATTCCACTACTAGGAATATACCCCAAAGAGACCATAACTGCCACCCAAGCAGATATATGCCCACCCATGTTTTTTTTTAATTTTTTTCCCCCACCCATGTTTATTATGGCTTTGTTCACAATAGCAAAGAGTTGGAAACAACCTAAGTGTCCATCAGCAAATAAATGGGTAGAGAAGCTGTGGTATATTCACACAATGGAATACTATGCTGCATTGAAAAATAAGGAACTCATGAAATATTATACAAAATGGGTGACCCTGGAGGACATTATGCTGAGTGAAATATCTCAGTTATAAAAGGACAAATACTGTATAGTGCCACTGTTGTAAAACGGAACTGACATTGGAGTTGGGGCAGACTGAGAAAGAGAAGATAAATTATGTTTACTGCATTGAAACAGATGAGCGAGAGAACTGTTTAAAAGGTATTTATGATTAGGTATTATTGTCATGATAGGAGTCCAGAAAGAAGGCTGCATAGTGGAATGGACTTTGGGGGAGGGATTGTATAATAATAAAAGAATTTTACTTTTCAAAGAGAAGAATGAACTCGGGGGAGGTTTGGCAGGGAGAAAAGTGCAACAGTGGAATGAATGGAAATCCAAAGTCTCTGTAAACTTGCATTAAAATTAATTTTTAAAAAAATTTAAAGGGATTGTGTTTCACTGGTTTGTTTTAGATGCTGCAGGCCAGAGCTGATGGCCACTTCCAGCGGACAGCCCTTCCCGCTGCCTTCCTGGCCTGGAAGAGCCGGTGGCGGTGGCAGCAGCGTGACAGAGCCCTGAACACTAGAGCAACGTGTTTTCACAGGTACACAGCTCACCATCTGCTCTGGGCATCCACCAAACAGCCCAGTTGCTTTGCACTTCGTTCCCCAGACCCCCAGGCCCTGGCTTGTCCTGGTTGGTCAGTAATGTGGGCTCATTGATTTCATCCAGCAAGATGAAGCAGCCCATACTTCCCCTGAGGAAACTTCTTTCCATCTTTGTTGCAAGTGCTTTTAGGCCTGACCCTGGATCTTAAGCTCTTCTTAAGCTCTTCTCTCATCCCAAGCCATTGAGAAGGCCACTAATACCACCCATTAGCTCTCTGCATCACAATGTGTCTGGACCCTGGATCTCGATTGCAGCTGCCGTGTAGTATGGCGTCCCTATTCTGCCAGAAATGGAGCTTTAAATTCTTGACATTCAAGTCATCAATAAAATTAGAAGGACCAGACGCAGATCTGCTTTTCCGCTTCCTCAGGGGTAAACTTGGACATAGCAGACACTCACTGTACATTAGTAGGATATCATGGAGAAGGATGAATGGCTGTGTTTCTGCCTCTGTGGCAGATATTGTATGGCAGAAGGACAAGGAAGCCTTACGACATCATGATCTTAGTCACTCTTTTTGCCCTCACAGCAGTTCTGAGAGACTATGCCCAGTTTATTAGTTTTAGCCCATTTGGCAGACTAGGAAAAGCTTCAGAAGGATCAATGACTTGCACGAGATAACACCACCCATAAATTGCAGGGCCAGGATTTAAATCCAGATCTTTTATTCCAAAGTTTAAGTGCTTTCTGCTGGATCAAGAGCAAGAGGGGGTTTTTCCTAGTTTTGTCCATTTCTGTGGTGAGATAAGACGTAAGAAGCAATTGAAGAACCATTGAAGAGACTTGGTTCAGTGTCCTCAATCCTGTTAGCCATAAGTTCTTCCAGAGCCTGGAGCTAGAGCTGAGGGTGGCGGTGGGCATGGGGCAGGGGCCAGCTTCTGGTGAGCTGTAGGTGAAGATGGATGACAGGGTTGAGTAAGAGAGGGGCCCTACAGAGGAGATGGGCCTGGTGGTCAGTGAACACGTGAGCAGGCTTCTGGCACTAAGAATGTAACCGAAGAGTACCCAGGATTCTGTGCATCACAGAGGACGGGGATAGGAGGGAGGGAGGGACATGTGTTGGGACACATTACAGTAATTTCGGAGGACTCCGTTGGAGATTCAAGTGCTTGGCCAGACCTTTCAGGCTCCTTCATACAAAGTCCAAAGAGCTGTTTTTTAGGGGGCAAACTCACCTCATTGTCATTGAGTCAAAATCGACTCCTAGTTGACACTCCAGCAAGTTTTCAGAGACTGTAAATTGCAGCAAAAGGAGACTGCCTCCCTTTGTCCAGTGGAGCCTCTGGTGGATTCGAACCAGCACAGAAGCACCTTCTTTAGGTTAACAGTGCAACTCCTTACCCACTAGGCCAGCAGAGCTCTCCTGGGGGGCAGCCCTGGGAAATAGAAGTAGACAGAGCTAGCTTTGCCCCTGACCCCTTCTGCAAACCAGGCTATTTCATTTTTACCGAGTTCCTGAATTGAGCACTTGAAAATTGACCTTGGGACTTTAAAAGATCCATCTTGCACACATCTACACACTTGCTCTTTGTTTCTTTCACAGACAAACAAAAATATAAAGCCAGCCTTGATCCTGTTGCTTTTCATGTCTTGTCAGAGTGGGGGCCCAGCATTGAGAGAGACTTTCTGGTAGCAGGGACTTCTCTCAGACCCTTGGAACAGGGCAAAGCCCAGCTGATGATGGATGCTCAGAGCTGCCTCTGTGCGGAACCAGAAGCCTCATTCAGTAGCGCATGTGGCAGATGGCGAAGGCCTGATACACTTTATTCTTGTTTGGATTCTTTCTTTCCGACCTGTGGTAAATATGTATGCCGAGTCCTTGGGTGCCACAAATGGTCAAGCACAGGACTTAGTGGCTAAGAGATTGGTGGCTCAGATCTACACAGAAGCTCCTCAGAGGACAGGCCTCATGTTTTTCTGTCTCCGCGCGGGCAGAGTGACTGAGAGCCATTTGGGAAGCCTGAATTGAGGTTTGCTTTCATGCTTCACTGTGTGACTCCAGGCGAAGTGGGCAGTCACTCTCTGTTAGGTCTTCACACTGGATGTAAGGCCAAGGACTCAAGGATGGGACCAGGGAAAAAGAAAAAGCTGAAGAAGTTTTATTAAGGGAGCTCCTGGGTGGGATTCCTTGGTCTGGAGAGAAAGACAGACCAGGGGTAAACTGTGCCCTAAGATGGATTGGACAGGTTTTTATAATAAGGGTCTTTAGGGAGTGAGGGGAGGGGCATTCCATTGTGGTTTAGCCAGGTGAGCAAGGCCGTTCACTCCCTCTGTTCACATGTTGTTATTCTTTAAATCCTTTATTCTCCTCCTTTGACCTTGGCTGGGCCTAACATGATCCTCACTCAGGTTCCTCACCTGTCAGATGAAGGTGATATGATATCAGTCCTCCACTTGCTGTGGAATGGAATGAAGCATCCATTTGGGCCCAGCACACAGTGCAGATGATTTCCCTGCCTTCTGGAATTGATCTGCGACTTTAATAGTAAATCACACTTTGTAGGTGTAGGCTGGAGTCCGTGCTTCAAGTTCTACAGCCACCTTTCCAGCACTCTCAGAGTAGGGCTTTTTGGTGGTTGTTGGGTTTTTGTTTTTAGGAATAAAGACAGAATTTATAGTGTATTCATGAATTATTATTTGAAACAATAGTTACCTACCCTTTTTGTGAAATTGTTAGACTGAGAATAAGATAAAGTGGGTTTGTTCTTTTGAGAAATTGAGATAAAACATACATACCGTGAAAGGCACGGCCCAGTCATGATGGAGAACCTTCGCGTTCCCACAGATGGCTGCTCTGTTCGTGTCAGTGGCCAGACAAGTGCTGATTGCCGCCCTCGTGTCCCCTGCCTGCCACACAGCCCAGCGTTGGGTGATGCTGACTTCCCGAAGAACCTTTCAGTTCACAGGCTGCACACTGTGCAGGTGCTTGGTTGACACCAGGAATAACATGACAATGACGAGGACCTGATGGCTGTCGACTTTCTTTCCCCTTCTCCTTCCCTTCCATTCTCCATAGAAGCTCATTGACCGCAGTATCATGATATATAAGAGGGAAAAATTTTATTTTGGAGCTTCTCATTCAGCAATGGTCTTGTTTTGTTTTCAGTCTTACTGATACTTATTTGATGCTTTAGGGAGACACTGGAAAGGCAAGTATTTGGTATTTGGTGGCAGAAGACATTTCAGCATCAAGAAAACCGCCTGGCAGAAAGAGTGGTGAGTGGTTTACCCTGCAGAGGTGCTCAGGGAAGGGGTCCCCCCACTTCAGGCCTTCCATCCACTGCCTGCCTCACCCCACCTCCTCAGGTGGGGGCACAGAGCCCAGACCCACACCGCATGCCCACCACATCATGAGCAGGGACACAGCTGGCACCTCTGTCACTGAGGTTGGCAGCTGCCTGTGGCCAGGTGCTGAGTGCGGATTCCTCCCTGGCTCTGTGCCCTCCTGACTCTGTGCCCTCACTCCTCTCTGTCCCCTCAGGCCATCCTTCATGCCGAACGGCAGCTCCTGTGCAGGGCCTGGTCCACATGGCACCAGCAGGCGGCAGCACATCACCAGGAGCGACAAAGACAAGCTCTGGCCTGTGTCCACCATCGCCACTGGCAGCTCCGGAGAGCCTGCCGGGTCTGGAGGGAGAGCACTCATGGGCTCAGAGCCGAGTAAGTGGCCCTGGTAGCGCTCCTACCCCGACACGTTTGATCCTGGGAGCAACACCTGACTGGGCCTCGAGTATCTGTCAGGAGGGTCTGTTAGCCTCGACTTGGCAGCAAGCTACAAGTTCAACCTTAAACTGCATGCACAGAACCAAGGCCTGTACAATCTTGGAGCTCCCAGATTCCAGAATTAATGGAAGACAAAAGTCCCTGTCTGCCACCCATGCTGTGGGAAGTAGGATCAGGACACAGACCAGTTGGGACAGCTGATCACACCTGGACCAGCAGCAGTTGGCTGAGGGACAGGCTGTGGTTGGAGCCCCTTGAAGGGGTATGTGGACACTGCTACATGTGGACTTAACCTTTATTACTTCCTCATGTGTCTCGATGACTCTCTCAAACACACCCCACTAGCTTAGGGTCCCGAGGACTCTAGCCTTGAGGCTGGGTGACTGCACTGAACCACACCCTGTCACCCCACAGGAAACTGGGGCAGGTGCGGGCTGTGGAGTTCCACTCGCTGCAGCTGCTGCGTTGGGCCTGGAACAGGTGGAAGGAGGTAAGGCCTGGGGCGGTGCCAGTTGTGTAACTTTGACAGGTGGGGCTGTGTCTGCGTGACTAAGAGCAGACATCTGGACCCCACGCAGCCTTTAGTAGCCCACCTGCTCCTCACTGCGGGAAGGGAAGAGCCAGCAGCTGTGGGGGTGGTTGGCTCAGAAGTCCCTGTTCCTTCAAGATGATAACACTTTTTCTTCCTGAACCGAAGAAATCGGAAATCCCTTATTAATCTTTTTACAGAGAAACTGCTTGGGAAATGGTTCTAGCTCCTAGCCTGTGGGGCAAAGTAGAACTGGCGGGTCGAGTTTCTGAGACTGTGATTCTTTAGGGAGGCAAACTCCCGCACCTTTCCCCCTTGAAGCAGCTGGGGGCCAAGATTTCAGTTAGTTAGCCGGGTGCTTTACTACTGCGCCACCAGGGCTGAGACTGATGGGATATTTACCATAGGTAAGTCACTTGCCTCACTGATGCTCACGAAGCCCCTAAGAGGCACGTGTTTTCAGATGAGACAGTGGCTCAGGGGGGTAAGAGGCCTTATATGAGCTCTCCCCACAATGCCGCGCAGCCCCCACACTTTCCTCTGCCCGCAGAGCATGGCCCTGTTACACGCCCAGCGGCGGAAGTTGGTGCTGGCCGACCTGCATCACCAGCGCTCCTTGCTGCACCGGGTGCTGCGGAGATGGCTGGTAGGAGCCGCTGCTGCTTGCTGCCTGGGGAGGGGTTCTCAGGGCCTGTTCCCTGCTGTGTGCCACCTGCGCTCAGTGGGTGCTCTACACCCCTTCAGCCCAGGAGCCAAGCTCCTTTGACCCTGGTCTGGCAAAGGTGAACTTACTCCTGTCTAGGGCACCAGCCCTAAAGTGAACGTGGCCTGTGTCCCAAATTGCCCTGGTTTGATTTCTTGGGTTGAGGGCCTAGTGAGACAGCTTTCTTTTAGTTGTCTGTGAGGGTTTCCTGACCGTGGAAGTGGGGGTATGGTCCCTTCCCCATTCTTTATGGGTTCTCCGAGCCTTGCTGCCCTGCGTCAGTGTGCTTCTCAGATGTCCCTGGGGACGGGGAGATGTGTGGACTTGGGGACAGCTCCCAGCCTGCCTCATTTCCTGCAGACTTACCAGGACGGGGTGCGGCGTGTCCTGCAGGAGGTGGCAGCCAGAGAGAGCCGTCACAACAGGCACCTGCTGCGGTGAGTCTCCTAGCATCCCAGGGGACCCAGCTGGTGGGACAAGGACCAGTTCTGGGAGATGAGACCCCAGGTCAAGTCCGTTTAGGGGTTCCTGACCACGGGTAGTAGCACGGGACCTGGCTGCCTTCAACTGTCAGCATGTTATGGCTTTTCCACAAGCTCTTTTTCAGCTCTCTGTCTTGAACACCTGCTGTGTAGGGAACTAGAAAGCCAGTGCACCCGGACGCCTCCAGTGCCTCCCACTTGCTGCCCCTCGGTGAACTTCCCTCACAGGGGGCTGTGGGCACTTTGTGTTCTCGGCCTTCCCCTCTCTCTCAGCTGCCCTTTTACTGATGGCCTCTCGGTCCTCATCTCTTCTTTCAGGCCCCTTGAGATCCATTATCTGCCTCTGCTCATTTGTTCGATGAGACCCACCCTCCAGCTCCTTCTAAGTGTGATCCCCCCAGGCCCCTCTTCCATGGGCCTTTTCCACTTTCTGTATCTGATCAACATATGCCGTTGCAGCTTGCCTGTGGGAGGTGGGCCTGATGGGCTTTCAACACCTCTGTCCCCCCTTACGGGTCCATCCAGCTCTTCAGATGGGGTGAGCAGAGGGCCCTTCCCTGAACTCGCTCAGCAGTAAGCGCACCCTGAGGTTACACTCTCTGCAGCTCCCCTGTCTCCCTGTACTTAATAGAATGAATCACTGTCTTCTTTGCGGCTCTGTGTTCCCCATGGATGGAAACACCACCTGGCTGCCATGTTTGGTTTTGTTCACTGCTGTCTCCTGGTGCTTAGCCGCTGCTGGCCCCGAGCCAGTGCCCAGGATACTGTTTCCTGAATGTAAACATGGACAGAGCATCGGTGTCAGTGACGGGTGCTTGTTGCATGCAGACCTCTTGGTTCAGGCACTGGGTGAAGCGCTGGCGATGATTCATGCCACTGCTATGAATTCCCTCCCGAACTGACGTCACCCCTCCCTTCCTGTCTCCCCCTCCCCACATCCCTGGACCGGCTCCCTGCAGGGGCGCATTACGTCACTGGCGGAAGAACACTGTGGCCCGTGCAGATGAAGCTCAGAAGACCTTACAAGCACGTGATCACTACAGAAGAACCATCTGTTCAAAGGTGAGGCTGAGACAAGGCATGTTCTGGCCGGGACGGACTGTGATAGCAGGGATTGGAAATGAGCTTTCTAACTGAGGAGTTAGAGACGGAATGACTCGCCAGTAAACGCTCCTGCACCCACGTGAACATCGGCTTTCGCTGAATTATAAACCAGTATCTGCTTAAAGGACAAAATGCCACAGAGGGAGTGAGTTCTTATCAGACGGATTTTCTTTGCACCAACTGAATTGAAATAACCTTGGAAGGTCAGTTGGGTAAATGTGACAAATTGTGTAAATCACTGAGCTGCTGTTTGTCTGAAGAGGTTGGTCACTCTGGCCCTCACCTCACAGGTCTCAGGAGCCTGGAGGCTGTTTACATCCAGTAAATGTGAAATCAGTCGCTGATGGGAAGTGACTCCACACCAGTTCCTTTAACTGGGAAGCTGGTGGGGAAACTAGTTTGGTAGGTACCATGAGCAGGTGGCAGGGAATGGTGGCAGGAAGTGGCTGTGAGAAATTGTTCAAAGAAGATGATTCCAAGATCAGTTTCAGAGAAACTGTTTTAGTGAAACTGATGAAATGATAGACACACACACATAAATGCACACACAGCTGTTTTAAGCCACTGGAAATAGTCCTAAGGGCAAAAGGCAAATGAAAAATATGTCTCTTCCACACAGTCTATGTAAATATGACAATGACGGTGAGAGTCTGTGGGATGTACGGAAAGACTGCCCCTCCTTCCCTGCTTCTGCTTCTGTGAGGGAGCCCTATGGTCCTAGCTCCAATCTGCAGCCAAGAACAAAGGCCTCCCTATACCCCTTCTCCCTTCCTGGGAAGATCAAGACTTCAGCCTTTCTCTCCCTACCCCCAAACCAGAAAACCAGACCCACTTCTGTTAAATAGATTCTGACGTATAGTGACCCTCTATCAGGTTTCGGTTCTTTATTTCTTCGCTTTTGGAAGAAGATTGCCCATCTTTCTCTTTAAGAGCAGCTAGTGACTTTTTGGTTGGCAGTACAACACACAGCACACTACGCCATCAGAGTTCCCTATGCTATCACCCAACTACATTAACAATAGATGATCTGAACAGACAGACCTATAACCAGTGAAGAGATTGAGTTAGAGAAGCCCTGGCCCAATGACTTCTCTGCTGAATTCTGCCAAACGTGTTATGAGACCATTATTATCCTGATAACAAAACTGGAAAAAAATACCGAAAAGTATAGATAGTATCTCTTATGAATAATGACATGAAATCCTCAACAAAATACTAGCAAATCCAACAACATATAATAAAGAGTTTTACACCATGACCAATGAGATTTACCCTAAAATACAAGGTATGATGTAGTGAATTACTTAATATATTGTTTTTTAAACTTACACCAAGGGAATTAGATACCTTGTTAATGTAAATAAGGTGAATGGCACCCTTGTGGAATGGGGCTATGACACTGAAATGGTTACTGAAACATTAGTGTGGATGGAGACTGGTCCCTTTTGTCATCCTGCTAGCCTTCAGAATGGAAAAGGAAAGTCTCATTGCCATCAGGATAAGAAGAGCCAAGCATGCCCTTTTTACCCAAGATCCTTGGGCTGAAACTCCTAGGCCCAAGAGATAAGGAGCTGTAGCAGCAGAGGTAAAGAGGAAGATGTGGCAAGAAGCAGTGGTGAAAAGACGGACAGACAGCTGAGCCACCTCTTCTCAAGGCACAGCTGTGGGCCTCCTGGCCCATTGAACAAGGAAGCTGGGTGCCTTTGGACATTTGTCAGAGAGTGAGGTTCACTGACGCACAGAGCTAAAATGGAGCACTTGCAGGCCTGGGTTTCCTTAATGGAGTGGGCTGCTTTTCTGGCTTAAAATGACAGCTTTGTAATACTTGTCCCAACAAAGCAGAGACCAGGTACCAGAAAGAGACCTACCTTTGGGTACAGCTGAGGAGGGAGGCGGTCCTGATTGAGGAACTATATTCTGAAATGTTCTTGATCCTTAATTACAACCTCTTGTTTCCTTAGTAAACCCAGTCAGTATGCGCATGGTCCATGAGCCCTGTGTGATTATTGCAACAGCTTATCAAACCCAGAAGAGAGGTGCGTGCCTCTCAAGGGAGGACTAGTGATGGAATTGATAGAACGGGCTTGGAATGTGAGGGACATGTCTGACCTCATGAGAGTTGGCTGTTGAGATAGGTAGAGCCATTCTACAACATCATTTTTACTCAAGGACTATTTAACATTAAAAAAGGAAGTCAAGGGGCAGAGGTGGGGGAAAGATGATGTCATAGAAGTAGAATAAAAACAGAAATCGCAGGATCATCTCACAAATGCAGGAAAAGAATTTGACCAAATCCAACACCTTTCGTTAAAAAAACAAAAACCAGTCATCAGAGTGGAAATAGAGGAGAACTTCCTCATGTAGGTAAAGAACATCTATAACCAGATCACAGCCAATGTCATATTTAAAGGTGAGAGCTAGACGCTTTCTTCCTTCAGGAGCGAGACTTTCTACTTTTACCACTTATATTCAACTTCGAATTGGAGCTTGTAGTCAGGACAGCTAAGCCAAAAGAAAGGGTGGAGGAAGAAATTAAAGATGTCTAGATTGGAATAGAAGAAGCGAAACTGTCTCTAGTCATAGGTGACATGGTCTTGTGTATAGAAAATCCTCGGGAATCCAGTAAAAGGCTATTCGAAGTAGTAAGTGCAGCCGTGTCAGGACTGCATGATCAGTATATGCAAATCCATTTTCTTTTACATATTGCAATGAACAGTCCATTCATTGTAACCTAATTTCCCTACACCTTATCTTCCCTGCTTTAGGAGAATTACTGACTTAGGATGATTTTTATTTAAAAGCATATAGCCAGTACTCATGGATTATAGTTTTTATGACTCACTTTGTTGTTTTTGTAACTGCAGGGACTAGTTTTAATTCAAGGTTCCTCCGGTCTTAATTAACGCAGTAAGTCTGGGCTTTTTAAGAATTTTGAATTCTCTTCCACACCTTTGTCCTTTCAGGACCCAGCTATGACGGCCCTGATCTGAAGGGTTTGTGGTGGTGCCCGGACACCATCTGGTTCTCACCGGGGGAGACAGAGCTGTGCTTCCTGTGCACTTAATGTACACAAGCTGCATCTCAGAGTCTCTGCCTTCCTCCTCCTTCATTTGCTCCATGTTAGTAGAGACCAGTAGTTGGAGCTTAAATACACTTCACAGCCAGTCACAAGTTTGTAAGATACCTGTATGCACAGAGAACCAGACAAACATAACCATGGGGTTTTCTGTTTGGGCAGAGGAGAGTGACCATTGTTGCCGAATTTTATGTTTTATCTTTACCAAAAATATCTTTTTCTCTTGTGTGTTTCTTAGTGGCATCACGTGTGTTTGTTGTTGAGTCTGTTTACACATCACTTGTACGGTCTCGCCTTTCCCATTACCAAAACTAACAGGTGTCTGCTTCCTAGAAAGTGCCCCCCCCGCCCCCCCGCCTAGCTGTCCCCAGTAACCACCAGTCAGCGCTGATCTCAGTCTTTATCAGTCTTAGTTTTCTTATCACCATGCTAACATAGAATATTAGTCCTTTTAAAAAAAAAGAATATTAATCCTTTTGTAATTGGTTTGTTTCCATCAGCGCAATGTCTTCCAAATGTATCCATGCTATAATTCTAGAACTCCTCATTCTTTATGACTGTGTAGTAGTCCTTTTATGAATATACCACATTTTGTCCATTGTTCTGTTAATGGGCACTTAGGTAGTTTCCATCTTTTTTGCTGTTGTCAGTAGTGCTGCAGTGACCAAATGGGTGCATGTACTTACTTAAGTCTCTTTTATTAGCTCTCTGTCTTTCCTCTGCTTGGTAAAAAGCTTGTCAGTCAGATATTGTTTTAAAACCAAGAATTCAAATTAATACAGACTAGGAAGGATTGGCCATCCACTTCCAAAATAAAACAAGCCTTCGAAAACCCTATGTACAGCAGAGCACACTTAGAGTAGACTAACAGATACGACAACTAAGGCTGAGCCCTCAAATTTGGAAACAAAGGAATTAGTTGAGACGAGCTCGGGACAGGGCAGGTTTCAGAGCTGCTGTATGTAGGGTCACAGGTGACTTGACGGCACATAACAACAACAGCAACAGGGTATATATCAAGTAGCTGGATCATAAGGTATTTCTAGTCCTAGGTTTTGTTTTTTTTAAAAAGCATCATATAGCTTTCCATAGTGGCTGTAACTTTGTACAGTACCACCAACAATGGATAAGAGTTTCAGTCTTCCTACGTCCTCACTAGCATTTATTTTCTGGTTTTGTGTGTGTGTGTGTGTGTGTGTGTGTGTGTGTGTGTTTTTCTGTTTTGTTTTTATCAGTGCCATTTTGTTGTTGTTTTAGATGCCATCAATTTGAGTACAACTCAGGGTGACCCTATGAACAACAACAGATCTAGACCCTGCTCTAGCCTGTGCCATTCTCACCATTTCTGATACACTTGAGCCCATTGCTACAGTCCCTGTGTCAGTCCACCTCTTTGAGGGTCTTCCTCTCTTTTACTGACCCTCCATCTTTCCAAAAATGATGTCCCTTCCCAAGGAAAGCCTCTCCTAGCGACATGCACAAAGTATGAAAGGCAAAGCGTCACTGTCCTTGCCTCCAAGGACCACTCTGACTGCACGTTTTGCAAGACACTTTTATTTGATCTTTTGTCAGTCCATGGGATATTCAGTATTTCTTCTCCAGCACCACAGCTCAAAGGCATCAGTTATTCTGTCATCTTAACTAATTGTCCAGCTCTCAGATGTATAGCAAGTGATTGAAAAGATCATGGCCTGAATCAGGCCCACCTTAGTCTGACATCATTGCTCCTTAGTAATTTGAAGAGGTCTCTGACATCAGGCTTACTCAAAGGAATACGTCTCCTGATTTCCTGACTGCTGGTACCAAGGGTGTTGATATTAAGTAGGGGTGAAATGGTATCTCAGTGTAGTTTTGCTTTGTGTTGTTCTAAAAGCTGATGAAT